CTCTGTGCTTGTGAGAGCTAAAGATTTTAAACTCAGCTGGCGAGCACTCTTGTGAAGCGTGTAACGATCACGTCAAAGTATGAAGCTTGGTACCGTGCTAAGTCAAAAACTTGCCGGAAAACAATGGCTGAAATTTTGTCAGCATTTTTAGCGCCCATATGGGAAATCGCATACCTAACTGAGTACCGACTTATACTTGCATCACGTCTTAGGACACTTTAAAGATATTTGTAGCAATGCAGCTATTTCGCTTGCTGGATAAGATGCGAGGCTAAAGCTTCGCTGGGATATTCTACTTCCAGCTGCGGTCTTAATTCTACTTGGGAGTGAAATTTGCTATAGATATGCATAAGGAATACTCAACTTTACCGAAAAATCAGAAACGAGTGCATTTTGCAGCGAATCACCGCCTTCATCTTCTCCTAACATGTAAATGGACTCATTTTCATATTTTGATTTTTTGATGAACGACCGCTTTAGCAACATTTTCACTTTCAGTAAACTGGAAATTTGCATTTTTTTCGAAGAGCACTCACCAGAAAAACGACTGGGATTCTTGCAAAAAACCGATAATCATGCAACTTAAGGTCCACGCCGTCCTATAACGCAATTTTTTGTCTTCATCCCAATCGATGTCGATTGTGCTTCATTCCGAAAGAAACCAAATCATGGCCAATAAGGGCTCAAGTGTTTGGCTGCAGCGCATGGATTACTTCTGCTATTAGCGGTCTGCGAGTGTAATGCTAAAACGCATGATAGCTCTGGCAAACCTGGTGCGTTCCTGGTGCAAACCTGGTTGCGTTTTTTATCACGCTCGTTTACAAATGAATCTCGGTGCAGTAAAATTCTTTTCTGCCAAATTACAGGAGTGAAAGAACTATTTCCGGATGAGGCACTGCGTAATATTACAGTGCTGAATCTCTCACAAGAGACACATAATGATATGAGAGAATGGAATACTACGATGGAAATCGAATGGATAGCCGCTTCTTCAGCAGTATAACTTTCTCATAATTTAAGGTTTTGAGTGAAACAACATTAGAGCCCTGTGTCAATCAGCAAGCACGCATCATGTGCGTGGGTTCGTCTGTCCGTCTGTCGGGTTATTTCAACTCGACAACCGAGTAAGCCTAGGTGCTGAAACTTCGGTTAACTAGGATCACAGAAACAGGATATCATTTCTCATACACTCTACGTTACATTTATGCACAAAAATTTTGGTGAGAAAATTACTACATCGGAATTCAGAGAGCTAGGAAGCTGAAATTTTAGGAAGCATACAAGATGTAATACTGGTATTAAAGATGCTTGTTTTACATACAAAATTACATTATACCTGCCGTCTTATTTGAATCAAAAATTCAATTCCGCTATAAAAATAAAAAATTTTTAAAGAAAAGTTTCCATTTAAGGAATATCTGGATCAGCTATATGCGTATGTGTGTGTATGCCAGTGTGTGTGTATTGTCTATCAGGTTGTTCGATTTCGAGACCTATAAAAGCTTTAAAACTGAAACTTAGGGGTCCTTAAAAAAACATGATCGCCACCAGCTGCTTGCTTCATGTCGTAATAAAATTTAAAAAATTTTTTTGCAGTTTATGGAAGCAGCAGCTGAAGTATGCAAAATTCTGCGCAGTTTCGGATACTGGGCTGACTTCATTGATCCTTTATCCGAAAAACCGGTAAATTATTGCACTGTTTGCACAAAATGTACTTTTTTTTCTGGATGACATCAAAGCAAATACTGTAACTCATCATGCGAGCATTTTAAGAGTGGAAAACAAACACAGTATTTTGCAGAAAGCCTATTTTTTAGTCAAAAATTTTCGACAATTAAGCTTTAAAAAAGGAAAGTAATTGTGCCGAGAGCAAGGCTTGTTGACTTAAAACCACTTTTGCTTATTACTATGAGCACATAGTAGCAGGGCTTAAATTTTCAGTATTTTCCGTTACTGCAGAATTTAATTGTTGTTCGTAAACACCGGTTAAGTGATCGTCGTTAGTAGGATTTTGAAAGGAATTTCTAGTTAATTAAGATAGTTCGGATAACCACTGTGGGTATGTCATGTTTGAGGTGTTACTGGGGTTTTTTTTCGTATTCTAGGTGCTGCCATGCCAAGTGCTTCGGCCCTGTCCTCCGTACCTAACTATAGTGGGCCGGTCCTTCTTTAAATGGACCACTCTCTTCATGAATCGTTTATTCGTTTCGATAGTAAATTGCTATTGGCATATGCCAGGAGTGAAGCCCGCTATCAGCTTGCTTGTAGGCGACTCTTTGGAAGGAAAAACTGTCGACAGATACCATAAGCCTACTGAAATGATTACTTCCACAACATAAACGTAGATTTTTCGCTATCTCATCATCCGCTGGCATCACAATATTTTTGGCTGTAGACTTAAAGCGTTCTCGATAAATTATCGATTGAAAAGTCAGTTTTCGTGGTCCTCTTTCTTTCCACTTATGGCCAAGTACTGACCCATCTCTAAAAGTGTCTGAAAGTCAAATACTTATGTATTTCTTTGTCCAATAAAAAAATTCAACATATTTGTTATCAAAAAATGGGAAAAAATTTTTTTTCCAGTTTCTCGCTAAAAGCAGAAAAGATGGGACGTTGCATATTACGGATGACGAATACGGAAAACTTGGATTTGATATCTCAGATTTAGGCTGTTGCAGGGTACGTTTTTTTTTCATCTTTTGCCCTAACATATAAGTGTTACTTTTTGCGCTGACGCATGCTGGATTTAGTTTCACATTTTTAGGGCGCACGGCGCTTTTGCAGCTTACGCGTATACTTTTAGTTCCACTTTTACGAATGCACTTATGGTTTCATGCCTAACAAATTTTCACGCTTATAAAATCGGATTGAGTTCCCAGTTGTTGTTGGAATTTAAACTGGAAGGACCGTGCTCACTTCTTCAATACCACTGCGCTGAGCGCAACTGACATATGGATGCGAAACATGGTCAATGAAGACAGCTAAAAGACAAATTCTTGCTGTACCGAGGCAGCAACAGAGCAACTAGAGCTTGAAGTGTCCCTTCACAATCATGTAAACAGTCCGACTCTCGGTGAGATGAAGGATGCGCAGGGGTAAATGACATATGCAAGAAAGTAAACGTCAACTCTTTCGGTCTCCGCCGAATTTTCGCGCACATATAGCGAGCAGGCCTTTGGTACTAACTGGAGGATTTAACCCAACTGTGAAAGACTTGGCATAGCTATTGCCCCGAATGCAGAACATCCCAGTAGCATTAATGACATGGCATTCCCACATCGTTCTTCCTCGAGCGGTCTTGATATTCTTGGTTGTAGCAATATACATTCAATAAACACATTCTAATGCTTGTGCAGTTCAACAAAGTTAACTACTCAACAAATAGCCTCTGTTATTATCGTGATGTGCGTATAGTAAAGCTTCAGTTTAGCTATTTTTAGGTACTGGCACACAAGATTTGGGGGACAAAAGTGTTTACTGGAACTATTCTA